TATATATATATATATATATATATATATATATATATATACATATACACACACATATATATATATATATATATATATATATACACACATACACACACACACAATTATTTAAATGTGTGTGTACCTTGACCTTCTCCCCTTTGATTTCCACGGTTTTAATCATGAAATCTACTCCGATAGTAGCCCCTTGTCCAGGTGGGAAAAGGCCCTGAAAACAAAAGCAGAAATATAAAGTCTGATACTCTAATACCCTGTAATTCAATAACTTCAAACACAGAAGCTCAGACTGATACAAACCTGAGTAAAGCGCCGGACAAGACATGTCTTCCCAACTCCAGCGTTTCCTATCAGAACTATTTTGAACAGGTAGTCATAATCTTCCATGCTCATGCTAAACTGTGAAAAATAAAAAAGGAACAAAGTAAATGCATTAACATTCAATTAACACCAAAACTATTGTGAAACTGGTGGAAAGGCCGGCATGCTCAGGGGATCACAGCTGGCATCTGACCTAAATAATGTGTTAAATATGCCTTGGGTCATATCCACAGAATGTCAATTTAAATTCAGATCTAGCCCATTTGCACAAATACACTGACAGCACCGGCAACTGTATGATACAAATAAATATCTATTTTCCAATTAAATCAATAGTCTCTGTTCATAAAGTCTCAGTTCAATAACATGTGTATTAATGTTTTGGTTACACCTCTCTAGGCTACTCGTACAAATCATGAAATAGGCCTACATGTTTTATTAAATTGTATTTTACAATCGATGCTCCATCACGAAAAACTCGAACACTGAGCAGACTCTGAAAACAGTATATAGTTACAAAAACAAAATGTTCCTATTTCACTTCTCTGCTGTTCTCCTCCCATTTTAACAGCATGTGGTGTGTGCACATTGTAGTTCTGCTTAGCGCAGTTTTTTGGGGGGCCGTGCACCACTTTGGGTGGATAATGGAGCCACGGCGGCTCGAGACACCGTTTGAGCGAATCATCCGCATTATGAAGCACAAATGTTGAGCTAATGGATCTCGGTGTCTCTTGTCAGCGTCAACACACAACACAGCGGCGTTTAAAATGCATGTAAACCAATTATATAAAAAAAAAATTTAATTATCTGCAGTAGCGTTACATTTGCTACGGTACCAGCACTGAGGGTCGGGCCTATACGTGCATGGAAACTAAATATGTCGTTGTTAGAAGGAAAAAAATTAACAATTTCAGAAATCAAGCTGCTGCTTGCAAGACGACGTGATGCATTAAATACCAACCTGGATACAATAAACCATATTTTAGGGTTTCGTTAAACTGATACCGCTTGCACATAGATTGCTCCCTGTGTCGCATTTCCTCCTCCGTCGTTTCACCTCGTTTTGTAAAATAAAGTAACATTGTAGCATTTTGCACGCACTCAAACTCAGCCGACGTTACATTTGTTCCTAACAATGCTTCATGTTCAGTCTGAGTTGACAGCCATTAAGGCGAAGCTAGCGAGAGTAGCAACAAGCAGCTATGCCGTGTGACTCTAGCCATTTTGGCACTATAGTCTGCAGATGCAGGAGAGAAAAAATCCAAGTGAGCCCTGAGAATGGAGTTTGGGAAGAGTTTTCACTTACCAGAAACACGGGGAGATCCCCGGACTTATCACTACTCGGTATGCATAGGTCACCTCATCAAACAGGCAAAGCCGCTGCTGGGCAGGGCATCGTTCCTCTGGCTGTTTCCTCAGCAGCGGTCTGTCTGTGTGAGGAGGAGGAGGAGGAGGACTGCACTCAATGATGTCATCAGCTCGCATGCAAAGTAACTCAGTACATCTACTCTATTACTGCACTTCAGCGCTATTCTGTGGAGCTGTAGCTTAAGTATTTCTGCGCTGTTAAATATTATGCTTTTACTTCACTGCATCGCATAGAGAAAACACTATTTTATTATGTAAAGTTTTGTCGGCTGTGCAGCCAGGATAAACTCTGCAGGGTGCTCGGCTCATAACTTGTTATATAACTTAGACCACAAAGATACAAAGATACACACGTTAAACACACACAGACATGAGGCAACGCTTTTGTAAAAGGGGGATTCTTCAACTGGTGCACTCTGGTTTCCGGTGTTTTGCAGCTTTTGTACGTTATCGTGAATGTTAGGACAACAGCCTGCTGGTAATAATAATACTGGTCCGGCTACAGTAACGTTACTGTTGACTGTTACTAGCTAAGCTAACTAACGTTTACAACATAAGCTAACGTTAGTAACGTTAGTGGTCCAGTCAACTGCTCGTGTCATGTAAATGTCCCTCTTAACGTATGTGGGTAAGAGTGTTATGTGGGTGTATTTTATGAGACAATCCAATCACAGTAATGTTATCGAAAAGTAATCTCCTCATTGCTAAATGTAAAGTCTTCTGGCGTTGGTTGCTAGGAAACAGAACAGGCGGACCTGAAGCGGCTCTCGTTTGTTTGTGCCCGGACGTCTTATTTGGTTGCGCAGCATGCCCTTGACTTCCTACGAGAGGTGATAGCCGAAAAGTAAACGCTGGGAGGTCACTTGAATATCTGAATTTGTTAGCATGGGGTTTGTTCCAGACCTCGGGAAGTCTCTCCCTCCTCCGTCCGTCGCCAACAGGAACTCTCTGTGGCTCGCAGGCGTCGGCTGGTGCTCTGCGATGCTCCATAATGCCATCAACCACAGGCCACCGATGAAGTCAGGTTAGCATGTTTGTTAGCTGTCTTCCACACTTCATCGTGTCTACGGTGTTTCACTTTCCTCTCAAGCGAATGCAACGTTTAATAAAAATCCTTAAAAACAACTGGTGCACAACAGAATGTCGACCTGGTGTTTGATAAAAGACAGTAACTTGTTATGACCCCTTTATTATGGTGCTGAAAGTCTACCTCTGGTCTCAAATGTCTAATCTAAATAATGTTCTATGATCATCAAATTTCAGCGCTTCCCTTTTAAAGACCCAAACTGTATATTGTCTACTTATTTTACTTTATTTCACTTGATGTCAGTACCAGGTGACTTGTTCCTTAGTTTGAAAAGTATAAGGTGCAAGCTTGAGGTTCCACATAAGCAAATAAAAGCTTGTATTTGTGTTTTCAGTGCAAAGTTCATATTATAGTATTGTCACATTATGTGCTTAAAATGCAATCATATCATCTGTCCTGTTTGCCTTTTTTAGGTGTTCACCGACAATTCCTATTGGCAACCATTGGTTGGTTCATCGGCTACCACCTTACAAAATATGAGAATTACACTTTCGCCAAACTTGATCGAGATATGAGCGAGTACATCAGACTCCACCCAGAGGAATTTGCAGCAAAGGGTAAGTGAATTATCAGTGCTTTAGTCCAACAGAAGACACAAGAACCCAACACTACAGCTGTCTTTAGGGTTAATGTTCCAGCACGTCTCTTGATATTTAGTTATTATACACATGGGAGGGATGTTATTTGATGAATATTTGTGGCATGATAGTTGTCAGGTGGTGTTTCATTAAACAGGGGAAACGATAGGTCAGAGGGGTTATCTGTACATTTATCGGTAGAAGCATGTAGTGCTCTGTATGGATACATTTTCTTATTCAGCATATTTTTATTTACCCTTTTCCTTCATGGTTTGTTGTTCTATTGCACATTTATTATATATATTACCATTATTAACAGTAATCCTATGCTGACAACAGACTGGGATTTTAGAACGTGGTCAATATGAGGGTATGAAGCCCCAAGCTGTGTAGTTTGTGCCCAGTTTATGTAGTGTTTGAAGAACAATACCACATTTGTAAGACTTTAGATAGAATTTTGGAACTTGGTGGCCCATGTATGTGTGTAACCTTTCTCTCCATTTCTTTTATCTCCCCAGAAAAAAAGACCTTCGCAGAGATCGTCGAGCCTTTCCATCCTGTGCGCTAAGTGTCGGCAGCTGGTGAGATGGAAGAGGGAGCGAGGAAACACTTGTAGACTACCACCTGTCTTGAGTGGTGTTTTTGTGAAATCTGTCATTTATTGTGAGAAGAGTAGTTGTGTAAATAAAAGAAATACCTGAATTCAACAATAAGCATGATGCGTTTGTGTGTTTGAACATAAAAGTAGAACACTGATCTCTTGTCTCATGATCATTTAATCAATCAACATTTTGACATATCTCCTAGACATAGTTTCCAAGGGACTATTACAGTTGTGAGGAGATAGAATTGATCATTATTGACAATGCATGTTCGTTCCATAGAAGCATTGGGTCACAGAATGTAAACACTTCTGACATTTGACATGTTCAGGTGACTTTGCTACATAAACAGCACTTTTACAAACACCGTATTTTTCTTTTGCTTGAAATCCACATATCTTACAACGCTTTCTAATTTGCCACTCCAATGATGTCCATATATTTCACAGTGAGGCTCTGAGTCTTCTTGGTGAGGTCATTCATCACAGAAAACAGTCCTATCAGGTGGAAGCGGAAGAGAGTTTCAGGATCCGTGTCCAGGAGTGGCTCCAGGGTCTTGTCGAGCGCTGCGTTGGTCTTGGCCGTGTGGTCGTCCAGGAGAACCAGGCTGCTCTCCGCCGTGGTTCTTATGGCCTTGAGCATCAGATAGTTGCTATACAGGTCTCTGCAGGACTCCTCTGTAGCTTCACAGTCCCACGCCTCGTCAGTGGGCACATCTCGCAGCAGGCTCGGCAGGAGAACGGTCTGCTCCATGTCACTGACAGCTGAGCTGTACCCTCTCAGAGCCAAGAGCAGGCTGTTCTTGTTGAATTTGGCATCGGCAGACTGCATGGTTTCAGTTGGATGTGGTCGGCTGCTCCTCGTGCTGTGGTGGCTTACAGTAGGGAAGCAGTGTGCAGCGCAAAGCCTCGAGAGCAGATGCTGGGCAATTTATACGAGGAGCATAGGTGGGTTGATCAGCGCGGTTATGTAATCGCATCACCTGATGCATTTCGGGATCTGAGTTTGCTTTGAGTGCTTTGTAAAGTCAAACTCTTATCTTTATTTGTTTTACACAACCTGCAATATCTCCGAGGTCATAATAATGTCTGACCAGTGTGTGCTAAAATGTACCCCTGTCAAATCATTAACCATGCAGACCATAATGTTTGAATGGCCTCAGTATGAAGTGGTAACATGGGTTTGTATGCATTAATCTAAGAGTAAATATGAGCTGAGGGAGGACACATTTAGACTAAACAAATATAACCTCACTGTTCATCTTAAAGGCCTGAACTACTTGTTCTTCTGTCTACTGTTTGCGCATAATATTGCTTTATAATGGCTCTAATATATTCATAATAATGAAGAAAGGGCCCAGGTGGGCCTGGGTGAAAACATTTGTTTCTAGGTCTGGTTCCCCTCCAAACTAAATTGGATAATAACGGTTCTTTCATGTGTGAGAAGAGCTCTGGGATTTTCCGCTCAAATGGAATTGAAAGCTCTGCAGACAGTCTGTGCCTTGGCCGACTAGTTCAGAAGAGGAGCCAAGCACCACCCTGAACACAAAATACCAGGTTGTGTCACATGAAAAGACACAGCTAATCACTTTTAGAATGTGGTAGTTGCTCTTGGATTCAGGTAGGATTGTAAATATACAGTATGTCCATGCAGTGACATACAGGAAGTTTGCACATTGAATTCAACTGATAATAATGAGCTGAGAAGAGTGATGGATTTGGCCAGAATAGATAGACTCCCTTAGTGACAAACCCTGTATTCTTTCAACAATCAGGTCTTAACAGATTTACCATCTCTGTGAACCATAAGTTGATATATTAATAAAATATATATACTTAGCTATTAAGCCTCAATGAGACACAGAAGGTGCCTGTAATGTGAGAGTTTAACTCCCAACCCTGTATCTGTCTCCTGCACACTTTTAAAGAAAGAAGAAAAGTACATGTTTTTTTTATTTTTCAAAAATGTATTGATTTTTAAGGCAACATTGTAACCTTAATTATTGTAAAATACAGTAAAACATAACATTGCACGTCAAATATTTTTACATTCAGTTACGACATCGATATTCAGTTACCATCCAGTTTTCAAACGAGCAACAGTGTAGTTCTCATGCAGATCTCACGTGAGCAATAACACAAAAAAAGAACAAGTGAGTGTTTTAGATTTTAACTTTAAACAGTGTTAATATGTAAACACCCATATGCTGTAATTATGTCATAGATGGCAGAAAATCACAAAGAGTTTGTCAGCCGTCTTCTTGTGACTGAGAGTTCTGCAAACCAAGAGTCCCATACAATGGTTCCGTGTCTTAATAAAGTAAGTCGAAGTCATTCACCGTGCTTTGCAGCGTCTACTGGAACCATGATGGGAACCTGAAAGCAGATCACCCGTCACTGAGACTCTCCAAACACATCCCCTTGTTAAAATGTTTTTAAACTTCACAGAACTGAAGGGCCGTCGTCCAAGAAGTGTGAGAGCACAAGCAGAGGGAAAAGGACAAATTATCCGCCTCCCTTGGGGGGGCGATGTACAGAGCGATCCTGTCTGCGTGGGACTGCTCAGTCAGTTCAGGCTCTTTACCAATCAAGCACATTCAATATTTCCTTCACACTGCTGCATTCTGAAAATCCTCCAAACACAATATCAGCTCTCCACACAGTCCGGCTCGCTGATCACGGATTCAGTTTTACGGCATTATTCTGTTGACCTCTAATAATGATTTCCAGAACGTTGGTAAGATCCATCATCTTGGCGAGCATATCCGTGATGTCGGGATGATCCCTGGCTCCACTGATGAACTCCTCCAGTGTCAGCTCACCTGAGGAGAAAGGACAGCAAGGGCGTCAACGCATTACAAACATTAGGGGATTATTATTGTAAAATGATCACATGTAAGGACATTTACTACTAGAGGGTTAATTAATGCCTCATATTCATGCAATATTTCACTGGGCCGGGCTGGTCATGGTGACTTTACTTCTAACCACGAACACTGACAATACATTTTTAACAATCACTACGTATGTCCATGGCTTGACAGTAAAATATCCCTTACCTTCTCCGTGGACATCAATCTTCTCATATACAAGAGTCACAATCTCTTCTGGAGGCACGTCGCAACATCTGGTGATATCTTGAATGGCCTGATAGAAGAGTTTACACAGTTAACTCTTAGTTAAATGGACTCTGGCAAAGGTCTATTATTTAAACAAAACACTCTGCCTTTCTTCAAACAGCTACTGAATGCATTTAATAAGTGAGTAGTAAGTTAAACTAATGGTAATTTAACTGTATAATGGAACTTTCACACATACTGATTCTGAAACGATGACTAGTCCTACGACCATGGCATTAAATGATTTGTGTGTATTAATAGAAAGGTGAAACGGTGAAAAGTTGTTGTGTACTCTGTGGGGTGATTACTGTATGCTTTCGTGACTGAATTAGGTTGTAGGCATGGCCAAATTTAGACTCGTGGTAAGATAAGAAGCCCACCTGGATTATGTGTCATGTCTAATTCATGGCCCGTTTCTCCTCTTTCAGAGCAGAGCTTCTGATGCTTTGCAATTCAAGAAACTTTGAGCTGCTCAGTTCCGTAGATCTGCAACACTCTAATTATGGAATATTCAGAGAAAATATACTGTACCTGGAATATAGTCTCCATTTCCTGCTTGTCAATTTTCCCATTTCCATCTTGATCAAAGAGCTTGAAGTACCACTTTAGTTTCTGGTTAATTTCTCCTTTCAGCAACAAACTTATTGCTGCAATGTATTCCACAAAGTCTATGTAGCCATCCTGCAAATGGACACATGAAAGACAGAGTTAGGGGGAAGGACTTTGAATCCACCTGCTACCAAATCAACATCAACATGAATTTCAATTAGGATTTTCAAAAGAAAAATTGTATCATTTGGCGTTTTATGATTCTACGCAAGGGCTATGGGGCTAATGCAATTCTGATGAAACGATAGCCGATATTAACAGACACAGTATTTTGTGTACGATTATGATTTTTGACCTTTCGTCCTAAGCTTTGTGAAAGACCCACAAAGTAGAGAAGAATCCAGAGGCCTCTGCACTCTCTGAACATTCCCTTTAAAATGTCATGCTGTTCACGTTAAACTATTCAAAATAATACAGGGAGCCTCTTATTTCCCACCGCATGGAATTCCTGATAAAAGTATTACTTTGTGCATCAGGATTTGCCCAAGCCACTGTCTCGTCAGTTGGCAAATTGTTACCGGGCTGACCAGACTTTAATGGGTGTCCCACAATCCATTTTTTTCCTGAACAGGGAAGAAGAGATCTGCTGCAGGTGTTTCCTTACCCCATCCATGTCAAAGGTGACGAAGATCTGGTCCACATAGCTGCTGGCCTCCTCTGTCATACCGGTCATTTGGAGAATTGTTTTGAGCTCAAAGAGCGTTATGAGTCCCGAAGGAGACTCCTTCATGAATTTGGTGTACCAGTGGTGCATATCCTCCTCCAAGATATCATCGAGGCTGTTGTGGGCGCCCATTATTCCTCAAGAGGTTTCGATTTGGACCACAACCCTGCAGAAAGCTAGAGGTGATGCAGAGGACAGTGTTCCTACAGAGCACCAGCAGCACTGAGGTCGGGTTGAAATCCCATGCAACGACCACCTTAATCTTTAAGTCTTGCCTCAGCCAAAAGCAGAGATAACCCTTTAATGGGATAATGCAGTCGTCTTAGGACATTGCATGTTATATGACTGAAGTGGGCTTAGTTACCAATATCCAAGGAGGTCGGACTCTTATGTGTAATAAGGGAAGCTTTCAGAGAAACACAGGGTTGAGTTGAAATGAAGACTTCAGTCATGGAGCTGTGGGACAACGTTTCATTTCATTTCTTTTTTCTATCTTTTATATATTCATTTGCTTTTTCTTTTTTGCAGTTTTACATTGCCATTTAGTGAGGTATTTTCATTCCGTTATTTTGCATTGTCACCTGCATAGCCACATGTCTTAATGCATGCAAATAAATAATCTAAAGGTCCACTCTCTAGGGTTGTCTCACACGTCTGGGATTCCTCAGGGAATTAACCGAGGGAATTCGTCCTCCTAACTCATCCTCTTTACACACATAAACAGACTAGGTGTTATTTATGAGCTACAAAACACATACTACGCTTCTTATGAAATATTACATCAAGTTATTTATACTCAATGATTGATATGGTCATACTGGGTATTTTACATAAAAGGAGAAACATGTATACGCATGTGCTTTCTTTTCCCAAAAGCTAATCAGACATTTTAAATTGTTTGCTTATTTGCATTAGAGGCCTGTCCTTTCTAGGGTCTTTTGTTGCCCTATTTTTAAAGATACAATGAACGAAAGCAGCATCCAAATTGAAGGAAGCAATAAGGTTATAATGCTGATAGCTCAATAATGATTAATAATGATATTAGGTCAGGGGTGAAAAGGCCAGACACTTAAGGAGCTTACATCATTGAGGGATGCTGCAGGAGAGCATATGTCCCATGTGTTTGGGACACACGAGATAGTGTGTCTATTATAAATATATAAATATATAAAAGTGTCTATTTTTCACTGAAATTAAAATTGAACACTCAAAGCATGTTGAACTTAAGTTTTCCTGGTGCGTCAACAAATTAGGAACAGTGTTAGCCAGAGGTCAGATGCACTCTGATGGATCTATTTCATTATCAGAAAGGAGAATGAGGCAGAAAAATGCATTAAAAATGACTTCATTGTTTACCTGCTCACTGACTGTGTTTCAGTCAGACCTCCAAGGTCAGCCTGAGCTGGTGTGTGGGTTTGTGTGTGTGTGTGTGTGTGTGTGTGTGTGTGTGTGTGTGTGTGTGTGTGTGTGTGTGTGTGTGTGTGTGTGTGTGTGTGTGTCTTTTGCAGGGTGGCTGGTTGTCAGCCTTGTTGTTGCTCTGGTATCTTATGAAGCACTAAAACAGTGCCTGGCTTTGAAATTGCGAGGAACCTATTATTTTTGAAGCGATTTTAATATATTTTCTGCTGCACAATTGCATTTTTTGAGGGGCTTAGGATGCTCAAAAATGCAAAAAAAAATTGGATTAGCTTCAGAACTGGCAAAAATTGCAAACTTCTATTGATCGGGCTCGGCTGTGGCCAGTGGGCTCCATAGCGCTCTGAAACGTAATTCCTTTGATGTTCACAAAATGTTTTCGCCCGACAGGAAGTTAGCCGTTACGTTAGCGTGTTGATTTTCATTCTACGATGTGTAAGGAGGCAAAGTGTTTCCGTTGAACGGCATCGATCTAGCGGCGGGACATTTTTATAGGTTATAGCTGTTGGAAGCCTGCCAGTACTGCAGATGTGCACAAGGGGCGAGGACCCATCCGTCCCTGCTTTAATATACTTTGTTGCTGTATGCACTTTATTGTAAAGCACATTGAGTGCAATTAAATGTTCTATAAAAATAAAATGGTCTTGCCTTGCCTTTTTTTTTTCTCTCAGTGACAAGAAGAAAAAAAAGTATTGTGCTTTAACAATCATCTTTGCCACTGACCCTAAAATAACAACATGATTACGGTTATCAAACAAGTAAGAAGTAACTCAAGCCTTATGATGAAAATCTGCTTTATGTACTATTTTTATAGAATAGATATGATCAGTGACAGACTTTGAGTCAATATAACAACTCTGCACACACAATGGATGAATACATGTTTAACCAGTACTGACCCATGGCTGATCTAGTGACTTTGCATGACCAACCTCAGAGGATCATGAGTTTGACAAAGGACAGGCAGTGGTGGTGTTTAAGCCAGGCTATCGAAGCTCACAAGGCTTATTATAGTTAATCTGGCTTCAGACGATTATTATTAGAAAGTGTTTACTTTAACAGAACAGAGATGGACACATGCAGAAACTCTTCTAAACTCTGAATACCTGCAAGCCGCTTAAGTCAATTCAAGTTGTCCATTTAAAATCAATGAATCCAGTCTAGTCTAATCTATTCTTCTTTATCCCAACATTTGCACTCTTTGAAGGTTTCATAGAGCAGGTGGCGTGATCTGGTTTTATGTACAGTAATAAACTGTCGAAATCTCTTGGATTCCACTGATGCACTGCTGTTTAAACTTGATCTTTTGACCAGCATGTGACTGTCATGCAGCCAGGACTGCACGTGTAAATACATCTCCCCTTCTGGAAAAGGTGACCCAGGGTCACAACATGCTCAGTAGCTCATTCTGAATACAATACTATTAGGACTTTATGTCATACACAATAATGTTTTCAAATTCTAATTGTGCTTTTTCTGAATAGCCAGTATTAGGTCCTCAATAAAACTCGACTGGTTCTCTGTGGGGTTAGATCTTTTTTATATGCAGTGCTGTCTGAATAATAATGTATTGCTATTCAAAACTCCAAAATGTATCTTCAAGTATCAATTCTATGTCAATGCTATATTTGTTTACACCATATCTAGATATATCTTCTTTTATTGAGTCCATTGTAGAAAAGATGACTCTGATTAGTTATACTGTAACTGAATGACTGTAATAACTCTAACTTTCAGCTCTGACAATTAAATGTATCTGTACAAATATTCTGTATTTTAGAAATAATAGGCCTTGTAAATGATATTACATGGTTATTTTATTCAAACCTTTACCAGGTGAGTTCTTCTTACCATAAAAATGACTCAAACTTAAGCTCTTTCCATGAAGTCTTGTACGGAGCACTATCAGCTGAGGGGACGCCTATAATAACCCTGTAGTGCATGTGAAGAATGTCTGTTTGTGACCAGATACTTTGCCACAAAACATTAATGACAGCTGTAATCTTATTAGAAGACTGACAAACTAATTTCTCCCTGGCAATGAATAACGTATCTATCTATCCATCTATCTATGTTGACATGATCACTGTGACGGTTCCCTATCTTGGTTACTTGTTTGTGTTCCTTTAAGGCAGCAGGTACCAGAGGTGGTGATCGCCCTAAGTGGAGGCACCTGGGCCCGGTGCGCTCCCTCTATAAAGCTATTTATAGAGGGAGCGCAGTTATTATTAGCATGCTTAGCCTTTACTTCCGAAATGGTCGCAGCAGCAGGCTCATTTCCCTGTGCAGTTCTCCGCAGTGTTTGTTGCTCTATAGGCAAATGTTCCACAGTTTTGGTTTGCAAATAATGTCTGATGTCGGGAAATAACGGCACAGATATGCAAATATAAACACATATATTTCTATTTTTTTTTTTTTTTAAACAATTTCAGGCACAGGTTTTGTACAAATGGTCATACATGATAGTCAGGGAATGAATATAAATAATTACAGCATTGACATTTACAGTTGCAGTTAAACAAGGCACAGTAATAAAGTCTCCAATGCAATATGGAAAAATGTATTTCATACACTCGATAAAACGCTTATTTTCTTTTGAGTGAGTGAAACCACTCAGTTAGACAATAGATGTCTATTTGGAGTCCCGAGAGGTCATGCACTGTTGATCGATTGAAATAAGAACAATCCTAAAAGCCTTTTACACAGAACGCACAATGGGATCAGACATATGACCTGCGGCTTTTGTGTAACTGTGGCCGCGTGGCTTCCTGTGGTAAAGACGCATCACAATGCAACATTTCTGCAGACCCGTGGGAGAATCACACAGGAGTCTGACACGAACAACCCCCTCACTGTAGGAGTGTCTCACTCCAGTGAGAAAGAAAGCGAGATACACAAGTTTTTCTAGAGTCTTAAAAACATGTTGAGGGAAACTGGAGCAATGTACATCTGCCCCGACTCATCTGCCTCCTGGTCGTATAGGAACTGTCTGAACACGTTGTACACCATCTCCCTGCTCAGGGTGAAGTTTCTCAGCTGATCCTGCTGCTCTTCAGGCATGACAAACGTCAGCTGGTAGCCAGCGATGACGACTGACCCGTTCCTGTGGTTAGAGTAAAACAGAAGTTCACACATTTTTACAAACCACAAAAGGCTAAATCATGTAGCAGAGGTGAAAATAAATGTAGTTCATAAACACTGCCTGTGAGTGTAATGTTTGTTCACCTGAAAGCCTGTATCTCAGCTTTGGAGAAGTATCGTCCCAGGGCAGGGGAGGATCTGTAGAGGTCGGCTAGCTGCGTGGGACAGAAACCCACATGCAGAGGCAAACAATTAGAGCGTAACCTTTTAGGCCGATACTAAACTACTGTCACTTAGGAGGGCTTTCAGTACCAGCAGCTATGAGCAGGGTTTTGTTATGCGAAGCTTGTGGAAAAACTGTCTCAGTTTAGAAGGTGTTTCTGGAAGTGATAGAAGTTACATTTTATATACTACACAGCTGTTATTGTGAGGTGTGGATGAAGTTGGCTATGCAGCTCTCTCATTTTAAAAAAACCCAAATAAACTTATATTATATAAATGTGATTACAGAGTAACTCTGGGTAAATGTTTTAATGAATCGGCATTGGAAGGAAATACACCTTTACATCTTTTTCAAATATGTTTGGTGCATTATCTTATGCTATTCATCATGTTCTTGTGTACATTACTTGTTAATGTAAAGCATATTGATTATTACTTGTAATGAATGTGCTATTTAATGTAAAAAAGATGGCCGTACCGTGCCTTAATAGCATAACTATTCCCTTCTACTATTACCATTAATTAACTGATGCATTAGCAAAATAAAGGAATAATGTTTGTCAGCGTATTCCAAAGTCCGTATGTTTGTTCCTATACAGTATACCGAGTTATGAATACAATCAATTCATTCATATTTATTAAGCACATTATTTGAAATACAGCTCATAATCGACACAAACCTTTTCTTGAAGGTCAGCAGCGAGTGCTTGGCTTTCATTGGATGAGAGCGTGGAAAGTTCCTCCGTGAAGACCCGATTGGGCAGTTGGAAGCTCCCATTGAAAGACCGAGGAACTGTAAACAACGAACTGTCAAAGTTCTCATCCCCATCCACATGGATCGCTGCTCAAAGAGGAAATTGGTCAAAGCGTTGGCACGTAATGTTATCATCAGCTTTGAATTGTTTTATACTTCTGAAAATGTTGATGTGTTCTTGCATGAGCATTTCAAAATAACTCACACTCTGGCCTTCAGCTGGCCATAACCGTGTAACGTTTGCACTCTACACTATGATAAATTGCCTTGGTAAAGCTCAAAGTACTTTATCAAACTTTGAAACCTGACCTTAACTTTGATTGTGCTGGTATTCTTTAATAAACGCAGCGTCATCTAACACACGCATCATGCAACCTTACCTGCACACACGGCCAGCGAGATCCCAATCACAGCACAGATGACGACAACGATACAGATGATGATCAGCAATAGTCTGACCCTCTCTCTGCTTATCCTCCACAGGGAGTTCATCTAAAAGCATAATGAAAATGCTTCGTCAATGGGGCCGCACCCCATGTGGGTTGAAATTTGATACTATTTGGTTGGATGGGAAAATAACTCAATGAATTATCACACGAGGCATGATAATAGAAAAGTTACTCTTCCTTTATTCCAGGTGTGGAAGGAAAAGCCTCAGAAACACAACACTTATTTTTAGTAAAAGTCTGCATAATTTTCGAGGACAGAATGTATTTCCCAGAGTCCTTTGAGCTTCTGTTGTATGGTCAGAGGGCACGGTCTCCCCGCTACTACTGGTAGGCTGACAAAAAGACACACCAGACATATACTTCCCTCCCTTTACTAGAAACGTCATCTATTCTAGGGGACAGTGTGTTGATTCGTTCACATCCAGAAGTGCGGACAATGAGTGACTAAGAGAAGTTGTTGCCACAGAAACGAGTGCTGCTTTCGTTTGTGTCTTTGACACAGAAATGGAAAATGCATGATAAACTGAATATATGTGTTATTCTAATATCTGGAACAGACTGTAAATCTGAACAAAGGAGCACAAGCTTTGATGGGAGCTCACCTGTCCAAAAAGCAACCCGTCTCTCTCCGTTGCAGCAGGGATCCTGGAGGCCCCACCATCTCCATTACCTGCTGCCATCTAGGAGCAGCCAATTATTGGGAAATAACGCTATGAAATGATAAACACCCCAATGGGATGTTTTGTGCAAAATGATGCCACTAAACATAAGTTTCCTCACAGTAAATAAAAGTAACAATACACACAGAAGTTATATTATCACAATTTTTTATTATAAGATATTACTAATACCACTACTATTACTACCACCACTACTACTATTATTATCACTCTTATTATAATCAGTCAGGCTAAACATGAACTCTCTTCTTTACCCCATCATTAACTCACCCGTTCATTAGGAGAATATGTTGCGCCATCGTTCCCATTCTCCCGGATGGCCTGCAGCTCAATGTCCATGCTGGGTTGTTTCCAACTCCCAAATAGGAGTTTTGTAATCCTAGCTAAAGTCCCAACCCGGAAGTGCCTATGAGCTATAACTTTAAATAATGAAACTGCGGGACAGTAAACGTCACATGTCCGGTGCAAAACTCCTCAAAAACAGGTCGCGAGTTTGCATTGTCTAAATGTATTATTTTTTCCTTTCCCCAGACGAAGCCATTCGTTTCTTCTGCTTCTTCTTCTCCTCGTTCTTTCCCAGCCAGGTGAGTTTCTTCCAAGTTTCGGTGCAGCTGACGTCGGAAGGCGTTGTCAAAAGAAACGGGGGTGGGAGGAACCGTTGGCAGTTATGGGACGACATGACACACATCCGACGTTCCTTGGAATTTAGGGACTGCATTACGATTCCCCACCGGCCTTTGTTTGGACAGTTATGAAGGAAATATAACGGAAACGGAGTGTATAAACACTCATTCGTACCGTAGGCAACTTTGCCTGTACGTATTTGAAATATGCACGCGGATTCATCAAGTTTTTTTCGCCCAGGTAAATGCTTCGATGACGTTATGATTTGTGTAACCAAATAAAAGCTGACGTATGAAGAGTCAACATGCCTGTTGGAGAATGTTGTCTTTCTCTTTCGACTTTGTCAACTGCAAGTCCTCAGTCAAGATGCCTTTGATGATAGTAATATTTTGATATATCTGAATTATGTTGAATATATTAAGGTAATTACAGAGGCCTAAAACACAAATCGGCCATACTTGTCAATTCAATTAAACAGGAAAGTCACAAACCTTTCACAGTGAGGGATAGATATAGAAATATATAGATATAGATA